ATTTATGCTACTAATGTGGTGAATAATTTTTCGTTGTGGAATGGCAGCTTTATACTAGGATTAGTTGAGAGGATTGGTTAAGGTAGGGTAGGGGTGGGATTTGGGTTGAGTTATTTGGTTTATACACATTGACTGTATTCAAATTGGTCACTGCTATTTTCCTAGCGCGTAATCATCTCGAAATGCAAATACACGGATACACATTATACACTGTCCTCTCGCTCTGTCTTTATCCCTTGCAGTTCCACATTCATCCCCTTCCAAAGCACCAGACCACATAAACGCGCAACTCTCAAAACCACGATTATTCTATAACATACATGATTCTCAGTTCTGTTAATGAATACGTCATATTACTTACTTCAATAACAGAAGTACTGTGTTATTGAGTTACTACCATGGCGGTAAAATTATTTAAATTTAGGCAATACAATGCAGAATAACACTTGTCTTCTGTTGACCTTTGTGGGTCAAATAAATGCTGCTTGGGGAATCCGATAGTTGCAGTGAACAAGCTAGTCCATGAATACATTTACTCCGAACTAACACCGTTCCAAACGAGGTCGTATGACGAGTGTTGCATATATGGATGATAGCCGATTCCGCTTGGAGTGGACACAAACTCCCTGTGCGTGTTTAATTTTGCTGGATGTATAAACAACGCATGAAAACTCGTGTTGTTATTTTGTTACAACATGGGTAAAGCACAATTTTTTGATAAAGTTTGTTTTTCAACACTCTATTTCTTCATGTTAAAACGTCAAGTTATAAATGCAGTATAAACATTCAAAGACGGCTAAATGATTAATTTAAATAAATAATTGAAACGCCTGGTAATATATCATCTGATACCAGTTTTGTGAGCTGCTTTAAGCTGGACTATAGAGTTGTATTCTAGGACAGAAACGGGAATTTCTCTTAGTCCCCTCGTCCACGTGTGCTGCAGACTCCTTCCTAATGGGTACTAAGAAATATTTTCCCAGGTGGATCGTAACTCATAGATCATTCTTTGTAACCATAAACTGTGGTGTTTAGGCACGGATTTAATGTGTAGCTTTTATTAAAGCCTTAATTTAAAATTAAATCCGTGGAATATTGAACACTTCCCTCCAACTAATCCAGGCTGTAAACTGGTGATTTCGTACAAGTTTATCTCCTGTTGTTAAACGATTAAACTATGAAAGATATTTCTGGACATCTTTCCTTTAGAAGTGACAAGCTCTCAATTGCCAGTCCTAAATTTAGTTCTATCCTTGATATTTGTATCTCTAAACTATGGTTTCATTGAAAAAGGCACTTGTTTTAAATTGGGGGTCATATACAGAGTCAAATGGAACAATTTTTGCAAAAACTGTTGTAATGTTATTGCGTGTTAACTTCCAGGTGAAACGCGGGGATTTCTCAGTACACTGCTATTGAACTGAATCATCTACGTAATTTTTCGATCAATAATCATCACTGAAATGTAGCAGACACTGTACAGTTTCTACGCTGTTCAGTGAATAGTTCATTTACGTTCATAGCAGTTAAACTAGTGCAATATTACATTCCCCGTGCGGCACGTATTATCTCATTTTCACGTCAAAATTACCAACTTCAAGATCATGTTTCACTGCAACCCCGTTCTATTTCAATCTCACATTTCTCTAAGCGGAAATGTTCCTAACAAGACCTCCGTTTATGTAATTAACTTCCTGAAAGTAAACTTAATATTCCGGAAAATGCCTACAAATAGTTCAAACATTGTGTAATGAGATGTTTATTAGATTGACAGCCTCATTTGACGTGACGGCTAAAATGGATTCTCTTTTTAATAAAACAAGAAACACGCCAAACACTCGTACTTTCAAGCAGGGGGTCGGTGAAGGAAGTTGAACAATCCTTGAAGCAATGCATTGTAAACCTGCTTTCCTTTCTTAAAAAGATACGCTTATCACAACACAACGCTGTCTTTGTGTTCCCCTTCAGTAACTTTAGTCGACATTAATAGAATTTTGTATAAAAGTTATAATAGTGGT